ATGTTCCCTCCCATCTTGTGTACCTAGCTCAGTCAGTAGGCATGGGAGCTGTCCTTGGACTAGGAGGGCATTTAGCAACAACTGAAAACATCAGTGTTACCAACATTCTCCTTGTACTAAATCCAAAACACAGCACTAGGAAGAAATTTAACCCTATCCCAGCCGAAACCAGGACGGTGATGAAAACAGCTTTGTCTAGGTGTATTTTGCATTGAAAAAGATGGAGAAATAAATATTTTTAAATTTAAAACTGTCAGTACGAGTCACCTTTTACTTTTTAATGGCTTCAATGGAATTATACATTCAGTTTCTAGTTAACATTATTTTTTAACATTATTGATTCCACGTCTAGTTAACATTATTTTTTAACATTATTGATTGCACGCATTGGAATCATGTGAAAAAGGAGTTTAAATTTTTTGAAACTATTCAAGTACGTTTTGCTTCATGCATGCACGTGTTGTGTTGTTGCTGCTCTTTGTAAGATTGGCATGTATTGGTTCAGTTGGTATGCAAAGAACAGGAAAAGAAGTGAAGTACTCTACATGCTTGCTCTTCTGGGAAGCAGAAGAGATACAAGTAATGGTTGAAAGCAGCTGTAAATTAGAACAGTCTTGTCAGAAGTGCTACTGCTATCTTGTGTTTCAGTTCAGTCTTCTGATAAGACTGTAATTTAAAAATAAAATGGCAAAAGCTGTTTCTGCCTCCCATACCTCTTCAGAAATAATTCCTTCTTTCTGCTTAGCACCTTGACACAGGATCTGTTAGTAGGATCAACAAAGCACTTTTAAGTGAAGTCCCACGAAATAAGGTTTTCCTGAGGAACTTTTAGATTTCCTGCATTATTCATGTTGGAATTTGTGTTTCAGCTCACAGGGTCTCTATAATATTGTCTACCTTTTAATGAAGCCATTTGAATTTCTTGGATTTCTTGGATCTGAATGAACCATGATCACTGCTTTCTGTAGGAGAAAATAGTAAAACATAGATACATTTTTATTTCTTTATGGAATGTGTTTTTTAAAGCTTTTTTATGGGGAAACATTAAGTTGAAAATCTAAATAAGCATACCGATACATTACTTGTTTTCGAATTCCCCTTTTCTTTTGTTGTCTGTATTTTCTTTTAGTTCTGCTGTTACCCTTCCTACTTACGTGAAAGGATGTAAAAATCGTCAGCACCTTGTCCAAAAGGAACCAAAGAAATAGTTAACCTTTTAGTTAATTATGGCCAAGAATGGTAAACTTAGGTATTTTCTCCAAAGTTTTCTTTTATTCATTAACTTGGCCTCTGGAACCACCTATAACTTGAAATTTAAATCTGTTATGCTGTCCAGCAATTGATTGCATTTTCCAGGATACTGGCAGGACAGCCCAAAAGAAGTCACCAGTGCTTAGTTTCCTTTATATTTGAAAAACATAGCTTACTAGTCCTAGGGCCAAGCTTGCGTATACTTCTTGAATGCTCAGTCACATTTATAGTGATGATAAAATTTTTGCTTTATACGAATTTTATTTAACTTTATATAAAATCCATCTGTCCTTGCAGGGTTTTTAATCTCGTCAAAATTTATGCTTAGCCTAAACTTTGATTTAAATGTTGGATTTAAGAGTGAACTATATCTTCACTGTTATTGCAGTCCACTGAAGGCTTTGTGGGTCTTTACATGGAAGTATATAAACCTCAGCTGCTAAGTTTGGAGAAGAGTTGCTCTTCAAATAATTGTGCTTTTTAGCTGCCTTCATTATTTTGTTTGAAAAGTAGTTGTCTTTTAAAAAAAATCTCTGAAATATGATTACAGTAAAATAATGAAAAATACCTTATGAGAATTGGATCTGTTCACTGTCTAAATTTACAGATATTACAGAGATAAGGCATCAGGAAAGAAGGAGTCCCACAGTGTGATTCTATGCTGATGTTTCCACTGATCTTCTGTGTGTGGGCTGTATATTTCTTATCACTTATTATCATTAGCTAACATTGAATTGCAGTGTTTAGTTTATGAAAATGAGGTTTGTGGTTTGCTGAACTTAGTTTACCCCTTCAGCACCATCATTTTTTTGTTAAAGCACAATAGGCATAAAATAAGAAGCCTCTTTTTTTATCATGTATAATTTTTCCCTTAAAAAAGGACATCAAGTTAAAATCTTCATTAATGGCATTAAACTTCTGAAAGCTGAAAATATATCACACTGCAAAATGCAGTATAGTAATGGCATGACAGATTTTAGTTGTTTCTGGTATTTCTCCACTGTCTTTTCAAGAGACTGCTGCAGTTTCAATAGTTGAGGCAAACAGTACCATGCAGCCCTCTTCCCTGCTCTTTGGCCAGCCTCCTCTCCCCGCAGCTGTCAGGTTAATAGACCAGTGTTTCTTCCCTATTGCCCTACAGGTTTTTAATGGGTGCTTGTTGGATACCCATTTACGTTCCTTACCAGTTTGAGATCTGTGCCATAGAAATCCTGCTGCTGCTGGCTAGTTCAAGGCTAGTTTCACTGTGGATAACCTTGGGTTATACCACAATTAGGTTTTTTTTTAATTGTCTTTGCTACTGCTGCAATTACATATCCACCAGAGGAAAGCAAATTTTCCTAGCCTCCTAAATTCTCTTATGACTGTTTAGCCATTAAAAAACCAGTTTCTGCGCAATTAAAAATTTTTAGCTGTTCTAATGATTCAAAAGTTAGCATAATAAAGTGCATTGGAGTGTTCCCACTACCACTGGTTTCATACCTTAATTTTTTTGAAATTCATCAACAATTTAACAATTTCTTTTAAGTCTTGAAAAGGAAAAGGTGTTTGAGCATTTTTTTTGATAGCAGGACACTATCAACAGTCGCTACTTTTTACACAGTAAGTTTGCCACATAGCTAATTTCTCCTGACCATAGATTAAAAAAATGCTCTTGAACCATTTTAGAAGGCTAGTGTCAATGTAAGTCAACCAGATTTGATTATATTGTATCCTATTAGCTGTTCTCTATGTGCTGAAACGAAGTTGGTGGCCAGCACCAGACCCTAGCAACTGATATGAAGAGATAGATAGAAATGAAATTGCAAACAAGTTTCCAGACGGACTTCAATCCCTTAATAATGGTGCAAAGGAAGGTGCAGTTAAAATCAACTATTTTCTAAGAAACAATTGGGAAAATTAGTTCAGAGATACAAATTTATATTGTGAATAAAAAGGTACAAGACAATTACAAGCTATTTAAAATAAACTCACTTGCCTGATAGAGGCTTTGTCTTGTTTTAGGATGAATAAAGGTGCAGATTTCAAAACGTGATTACACCTGCATACCTCCTTGTTATTAGGTTGTTTTAAGAAAATTGTCTTTTCTAATCAGTGTATGATAATCTTGGAAGTGGCGTAAGGCTTTTCAACCCACTCATTGTAGAAGTGTCCATGTGGAGCTGCAAAAATCTTTGTAGAGGTAGTCTAAGTATTTCATAAATAAAGTTAAATTGTAAGGAAGTGAAGAAGTAGACTAGGTTAGAAATACGTTTGGAATAACAGTGAATAGATATACCACTATGCATAGAAAAAGCTGTAAGATTGAGACTTTTCTAGCTTCTCCCAGAAGGTGGATTTTCTTCCTCCTTCTCGTTCAGGGTCCCTATTTTCAAAAATTCCATCTTGAGCAAGTAGTTTTCCCCTGAATTAATCTTTCTTTTTTCAGTAAGACTTCCTGGCTAGCTTTCTTTCGGCTTTCCTTGTAGAAGAGAGGTAAGGAGAACCGTTGCTTCACAGGAGCGCTCTTAAATAATAGCAAAGTCTTGATTTCCTGCTTCTTGTTAATCAGAAAATAAAGAATCTGAAAGTATAATGGAATGAAAATGAAAATCAGGAATGAGAAGAACTTTGATTTTTCTCTTTGGGAGGCTTCACTAATTACATGATTAAGCCACAAACCAAAAAGCTCCTTTGTTAGTTTGTGTGGCCTTTAGAAAAGAATAATGCTTGCTTTTGTTTTTGTGTAATAGTCTTCAGAAATGTACTACTTCTCAGAATTCACATAGTTCCCTCACTCATCTTCACGCTTATGCAGCATGCTAACTCTTTTGAACCCTTTTTGGTATCCTGAATTTTTACGTAGTCAAAGGCTTTGCATGTTGCTTTCTTTCATCATATGTTTGGAAGTGATGATTTTGTCTTCCTTCATTTAGTTACATATAAATTGATACACGAATGTTTTGTCTTTGAAGGTGACATGCAAAACTTGTTTTTTTGGTGTATGAAATTATGAAATCTTGTTCACTACTGGAAACTGAAAAATTATTTCTTTTGAGATGAAGTATCTTTTTAGTTTGGCATGGGAGTGTTTTTTGTTTTACGAGTGAGGGTTTGATTGCATTGTGATGGAATTCTAATGGTTAGAATATGTATATGTTGCCTTTTCTGCTTGAAAGAGGCTGGATGTCTTCTGGTCGTTTTTAACTTGATGCCTGGTTATGGGAAGTGAAGGGTTAGAGAGCTGCAATGTACTTTGATTTAGGAAATCTTATGTCACTTAATGTGCTTGAGTGAAATTGGTGAACAGCATATTTAAAACCCACAGTTGCTGAGAAGGTAACTACTTAAAGGTTTTTACAGTCTGAATTGCTCATTGGCTTGTAGAAGTGTTGTTTGCTTTGTGTTTCTGATGTCAAGATACTTGTTTATTTTTCATGCAATGTAATCAAGAAGATTTCTAGAATATTTACTAGTTATCAGTGTGCCTCATAGAAAAATAAATGGTGCTATATGATAATGTTCTTCAGTTCACTTCAGAGATTTTTAGCCTGATAATTGTAAAAGTTTTCAGGAAAAAAAATTGTTTTCTAATTATGATCTGTATTCTGAATGAGGGTTGTATATGTTCTTTGGAATAATTTTCTGTGAATTATTTTGACTGTACAATTAACCAATCTGATCAGAACTGGCGTAGTTTGCGTTTAAAAAGTAAAATCGTACAGGAAATACATTATAATATCTAAGTATATGGGGAAAAAATGTTTGACTGGCCCTCTGTAAGTTTTGTTAAGAGGTATCGGATAAAGGCTTAACTATTATTTTTGTTCTGTTGCAGGGATTTCTCCAAAGTTAATATCCTGGTACCTGGTGCTGGGCTAGGTAGATTGGCGTGGGAGATAGCTATGCTCGGTTATGCTTGCCAAGGAAATGAATGGAGCCTCTTTATGCTCTTTTCTTCTAACTTTGTACTCAACAGGTACATAGCTTATGTTTTACTTGCTGATTGAAACCTACGGAGGCAAAATTATAAGTGAGAAAAACTTGAATAAATAAAACTCATAAGAATAGATTTGTAAGTCCTAACACAGGACACACATAACCACTTTCTAGAATGTTTTAATGAAAAAAAAGTCAGTGGGATAAATGGGGGAGGGAAGCATTGTATCAGAGTCATTCAAATTATAGCAGGAAGCATGACTTCTAAGTGATGAGACTTAAAATCTCAAGATTGTACCACAGATTTTCTGCATAATCTTGAATAGGTTTTACTGTGATGTTATTTCACATCTGTTTCTTTAAAATGCATACTATCTCACTGGTGTCAAATATGGACTAGTTAATATGTGCATGCTACTTAGTGGTAGTGATTAGTAATGGAGGAAACCCATTAAAGAAAGTATTACATTCCATACTAAAATTTTAGGCTCTATTTTGACATGAAAAACAACCACTGAAGCACACTGAACCACTTCTTAAGCAAGTCCTGTCACTGAGTAGCAGCTAAAATATAGTTAATAGTTCTACAATTAGCTGAGACACTAAATTTGAATGTAGTAAATTTCACTTCATAGGTTTAATTTAGAGTGACATTTCTCTATTTGATATTCTGTCACTTGCATTGAAAATTACTGGTTGCATAATGAACTTGTTAGAGAGGAAAGAAGGCAGCAAGTGCAACTGTTCTTTTAAGAAAGAAGGTGGGAAGTCTATAGGTAGTCTATAGGGCAAGTAAGAAAGAGGTCTGGTGGGGTGTTTTGTTTTTTGGGGGAGTTGATACCAAGTTCAGAGAGACAGATTTTGCCAGTTCACTCATTCTCCAATCTGAAATGACACATTTGCTGAAAACACCTAAACTATTGGCTTGTATTCTATATTATCATGACGTTTTGGAGACCTGTTTGTAGGCTGATTGTCTGCATCAGACTGTGATGATATTAAATCTGTTACAGCTTACTGTTCAAAAACAACAACGGGAAAACACTGTGTGTTATGTTTGCTGCATGTCTGCTTAAAACAGTAATGGTCAATGTGATGAAAAATAGATATTTGCTAGAGGTTTATTTGTTCTTTTTCATACATTATTTTTAAATGTTTCTCATCTGGTGGTGAAATTGCATATTACAGTTGAGCTGATGTAATGCCTTGCAGCTACTGAAAGGAGGTCACGTTCTTCTCGTCCTTAGCTATACAGCCCTGCTGGCTCTTAAGCTCTGTGCAAATTTTGAAATTATTCAAAGCAGCATAAAAGTATTCATTTCACTGATCAGCTGTCATAGTGGTTCAAATCTGAAAGTTAACCTCACCCCTGATTACCTCTGATGAGGTGGTTTTTGCCTTCCTTAAATAAGGAGTCTTTGGCCTGTACATGGAATTCTCCTGAAGATCTATGCTTAGCTTACGATAGTAATCATTCTTAGCATCTAATGCTCATGTGGTGTTTACTATTTGTATAAGATATTTAGCAAAGAGGTGTACATGCATTAGACTTGCTAACGGTATTAGATTTTAGGCAGCAAAATTGAGTGTTGCTCAGCTGCTGTAATCTTCATCTTTGCTGGGCTAGTTATCAGTTACAAGTTTCCTTGTTAGCATGGAAGAGAATACTGCTAACCTGACTCTGAATTTCAGTCAGTTCTGTTGAAGTCCAAGCATTCCTTTCTGCCAGATCTAATTGTGGGCTTGGGATGTCTATTAAGAAGGTTTTAGGGACTTTTGGGATCTTTCATTTTAGTCTTTAAGTGGCTGTTCCCAGTTAGCTTTCTGAAATGGACGTTTGCCTTCCTGGAACTGGAGGAAACAGCAATGATCAATATGAGCTGAAGATACCAGTTAAGGGAGAGTGGTAAGAAAGAAGGATTTTGCAAATTAATTTTAAACTACAGTCTTAATTTAATTAATTTTTGTTTTCTGTTGGTAAAAGCATCAGGACTTTGCTAACATGTCCAAATGGTTTGGATCCACCTTCTTTCTCTGACCTTGGTTTATTTTTAGGAAGACAATGTACTATATTGAGTGTCAAGCCAACTACTACAGGGGGCTCCTAGATGTGGTACAGTGACTTAAGTCTTCTGTATACAATGTGTTATCTGCTGATTTTTCCGCATGTAAAAAAACTTAATTCTCTTGAATTGTCAACTTTTGTTACTGTGGATGAAGTTGCATATCATGTTGTGTAGAGAGTGCATCAAGGCGTAATTGTGGTCACTATAAGTGTTTGAAATTAATGAGAGTGCATTATTCCATTGAGGAAGCTCTAATTAAAGATAAAGTGACCCTGGAGCAGGGTCACTCCAGACTGCAATGGCTCCAAGGCTGCTGCAGTCTTGTATGGGAAATTGTCTTTTTCTTGTATGGGTAAGGTTCTTGTTGCTGGTGTATTTTTCTTGTGTTTAGATGATTTCTGGGTATAATGGCAGATGGCAGAGGTGATCGTTGGTGATGTACAGGCATGCTTCATTTCTTACATGTTCTGGAAGAGCATGAACTGTGAAAAGCATAATCTGTTTTCCTGCCTCTGGAAGGCATACCAAAATCTTCAGGCAATCTAGAGCCACAGGACACACATTACTTCCCTTTGACATCTGACTGGAGTGGAAACAACAGTAGGGTAGTATCTGTGTGGAGGAGGCATGAGCAGCTGATAGCTGACTTGCTGTTTCCTGCAGCTGGAGATTCAGAGCGCAGGGTCGGTAGCCTTGGCCCAACAGCCCTTCAGTAGCAGTAGTCCCACTCATGAGTATTTGAGAAAGTTCAGCTGAAGTAATATAAAATCACTTTGTACCCAACTTAGAGTAGGGTTAGTTTAAAAAAGCTTTAATTAATACCAGTAGAATTCATGCTAATAATTGGGTAATCCTTGAGAAGGCTGCTTAGTTGTATTTGTTGCATGTCCGTGAATGTCTTAGGATGAAAACAGTTAAGCATTTTATCTTTAAATCCGTGGTCAGAAGTAATACTTGACCTACCCATCTTTTCCAGAACCATCCTTTCGACTCAGTGTTGAACAGTAAATGCCCCGCCCCGATGGAAAAAAGTGAAGTGCATCACACATAGTTAAAGATGTGATATTTTTATAACAACTTACATCATACATCTCTTGTTGGAAGGATGGAATTGTAAAGGACTGCAATACTTAGTTCTGAAGTATAAATTACTGAAGCTGGAAAGGGAGGTTTTCAAGCTTGAGTATGGAGAGGGATTGGTCTTTTATATTAAATTGGGAATTCCTTTTGGAACTGTTCGAAAGTCTACGTGAATATACTTTGTGCTAGGAAAAAAAAATACAGGGAGGTATGCATTCCCTTATAGCTCAGGAAAAAAAAATCCTTTTTAATCTACTCAGATCTCTTATTTTCTTTACTTTGCTTTTGGGGAAATTTTCATTGTTAAAGAAAAATGTTCTGAGGATAATACCAATTGACTGGGAGCATATGGAGAATGCTAGAATGGTTAACACACACCTTTTGTTCGCCAACATGGGGTGGGTTTTTTTGTTGTGGTTTTTGGGGGTGGGTTTTTTGTTTTTTTGTTTGTTTTGGGTTTTTTTGTTTGTTTTGGTTTTTTGTGGTTTGTTTTTTTTTTTAACCAAAATAGAAATGCCTTTCTTGAAGAAAATGATGCCTATGTTATCAGGTGTTTTTCCCTGCTTTTTTTTCTTTGACTGTATATATCTGATATTTATTTGGTATATATGGAGACAGTTGAAGAGCTGCTGTAATACAGCTTGGATTTGTATTTTTTTTGCTGAAAAAATGAAGTAGAAATCTGAGATGAAGAAGGTAAAAAATGTTATTTCAAAGACTTTACCACAGATGTTTTCTATCCACCAGCCAAAAGAGTGCACTTTCTTATAACCTGGTAGATTGCTTGCGGTTTATGAAGTGTTTGATGATATGTGTTTTATGGGACAGATGTGTCCTCTGTTGTCTCTGAAAGAAAATGGCTTCATTTTTTAATTACAAACTGGTTTTACAGGACTGTGGGAAAAGCTGCTTTTTATACTTTAATGCTATTTTTTATCATTTTTTACAATAAGAGTTGACTTAGTTGGTCATGTCAACCCACAAATTTTATTTTACAAAGACACGTTTACTTAGCATAATTGCAACACTCCAAATGTTAATAACTTAAAATGACATCTAGCACAAAGCCACTATGCTTTGCAAAATGGAATTTATGTATTGAAATCTGAAAGCATCCTTTCAGTTACCATCTGCAAATGCTTTCATTCTACTGTGCTTCAAAACCCCTATGATTATGGTTCAGAAAAGACAGAAAAGTCTAGAATGAGAACAAATGTTTCCAATAAAATTCACAGAACTAATGTTACTCATCTTCTTTTTTTTTTTTAAATGGGAAAAAATATGGCCCAGAAAGGCTTAGCTTTACTGACTATACCTAATCACAAGTTTCATTAATCTTACAAAAGAATCTGGTGCATTTTCTTTTCAGTGGAGAAGTAAGTCAGGAAAAATGGTAAAAAGTGTGAAAAGAAAACTTTAAAATTAAAAAAGGCAGTTATTTTGTGGCGATAATTTGTGTGTCAGAGTAAAATTGGTTTTTTTCATCGATTTATAAGTGGAAGTGTTATAAACTAATAAAATTCCTTTAGAAAATGTGTAACTTTTGCAAGAACTGTATCATAATACAATGGACGTTGGTGGAATTCTTTGACTCCTACATTTCTAGATAATAGATAAGCTATTAGTTGAAACTGAATTGTGCTGATTTCCGTATTTTGCAGATGCTCTGAAATTAACTCATGTAAGCTTTATCCCTGGATTCATCAGTTTAGCAATAACAGAAGATCTGCTGATCAGATACGTCCAATTTATTTCCCTGATGTTGATCCTCACAGTCTTCCTTCTGGTTCAAATTTCTCTATGACAGCAGGGGATTTTCAAGAAATCTATTCCGAGTGCAGTGAGTAAATGTAAACTATCTTCAGACTATTTGTTATAGGACAGTTAATGATTACAAATAGAAGGGACTAGTCACTTCTCTTCTTTAGTGTAAAAAATAGAAATATGAGTTTTTTGTTGATTCAAACTGTTTCAGTAGTAGTACATTATAAATGAAACAAATATATACCCATTGACTGTCAATAGTAAATATTTCAGAGGCACATTATGGGGATGATAATTATCAAAGATTGAGACTTCTGTTCGTACAAATAGCCTCATTTTTCTCTTGTAATATGAGGTTAGTTGTACTGTCCTCATTGCAGCTATGAAGTAATGTTTTATGACTCACCTAATGTTGAATTAACTTGCAGAAGACTATCTTTAGTGCCCACTTAACAATTACATATTTAGGATTTGATCAAGGGTAGCACTTACCCAGTTCTTTTGTATGTAGTCTAATATTCTAATATATGCCTATTTAGCAGCCATTATTTTTTCCTTACATAGTACTGGATTATCACCTCAGACATCTATTTTCTGTTTCCACCTTTCTGTCCCTATTAGACCCATAGCAATTTTTCACCAGGATTATATAGCTATTGATCTGCCCTTTATTGTGCAGCTAGATTTTCAGATATTTTCTTGTAGGAGCCTTCCTTATAGTTGCTTAATTTTCTGAAGGCTCTGTCTTACACTAGAACATCTGATACTTAATTGAGTATAAATTGAGACTTTTAATTTTTTTATTTACGGAACTTAAAACTTTTGCAATTTCAAGGATACATGTTTAGAGAAAAACAGGGAGACTCATGCTTTAAAAGGTAGACTTTGAAAGATCCTGCTTGTTAAATTCACTAGTAAAAAAACAGCTGGAGAAACATTCAGATACTGAATAAAATTTTTTAAAGCTATGTGATTTGTGAAAGTACACTTCAGTGTACAGACTTGTATTACTCTAGATATTAACTAGAGAGGCCCAAAATCACTGGGTATTTTTGCAATTGTATTTCTAACAGTTGTAGTAATGAAGTTCATAGGACAAGTGAGTCAGGCATGCTTGGGCCTTCATTTATATAAAATGTGTTATAATATATACATTGTACAGTATATAATATAAATATATCTCATTTTATATAATGTGTATGAACAATTTTGTAAAATGCGTAAATAATAAGTATGTATAACATTTTAGAGTGTGTATGTGTATATATGCACACACATACACATATATATATAGGTCACACGAACCCAAACTTACCTGTTGTTAACATAAACCAAAATATTTTACTTACTTGTAAATGAAATGAAGAGCCTTCAGTTGTTGTTAGTTGAAGGTAATGCTGAGTGTGTAAACAAATACTGGGGTTAAATGAAGAACTTTTACAGGGATAGAAACATTGAAACTAATCTCTATAATTTGCTCTTTTTATGCAGATACATGGGACTGCATAGCAACTTGCTTTTTCATAGATACAGCACATAATGTTATCGATTACATTGATACTATATGGAAAATACTAAAGCCTGGAGGAATATGGATAAATGTAGGCAAGTGTGACCAACCTTTCTTCCTGCTAGCCCTGACTTAAGTTTGATCACGTAACAGGCATCTCGTACTTGAAAAGAGTGGGGACGAATGTGTCTGTGCTGAAAACTCTGTAGAGCTAGAAATATCTAGGGCTTGGAAATTATCTCGGATGTGTTCAGAATATGCCACTTACAATCATGTCAACATCATGTGATTTTTCAATAGAAGTAGTAAATCTTCGCAGTGGCAGGTTTTGCATTCATGCATCAAGCCTTTGTTATTTGGCAAATGTAGTGTCCTGTATTCTTTTTTGCTGTTTTTCTAAGAAAATAGAACTTGTTCTGTGTGTAAATACATCTTTGTATTTTTTTTCTTAATCTGTACTGTGCTTGCAAGCAGAAGTTTTGGGAATGAGATTTAATTTATGTATGCCTTGGCTCAAAAGAAGAGAGACTTAAATTAAGTCTCCCATGGTGAAGGAATGGCAGTCAAAACTCAGGAGTTAAACATTTTGTATAGTAGAAACTGGCCAGTCACTGGTCGGCCAGTCACTTGTCAGCCAGTCACTGCACTATTGCTGGCCAGTCACAGAATGCAAGCAGAGCTCTTGAGTAGACCGCAGCATGTCCTGCCTTTTCTTCTATAGAGACAGCAGTGATGCTAGACTGAAGAAATTTTAGGATGGAGAAAACACAGTCTGGTAGGAAATGAGACTTCATTGTTGAATAAGCAGCTGAAGTAATTTGTTTTCATTTTTTGCATTGATTCTGAAATTCGTTATAAAAATCATATTCGAGTGATAGAAATATGTTCTTTTGTCTATTTGAGTATGTGGCTGGATATAAGCATTCTCTGCACTTTCAGTATGTGCTTTTGATTTTTAGAACATTTTTGTCTTTTTAATAGCCATTTCTGTTGTATCTTTGTACTGTAGGTCCTCTCCTTTACCACTTTGAAAACTTGGGAAATGAACTTTCTATAGAATTAAGCTATGAGGATATAAAAAATGTTATACTGCAATATGGATTCCATATAGAGGTAAGAAGATGCTATACTTTTCTATGAGTAGTATTGATATAAACCAGACAAACTCCTTTGAATGAACCTTTACCTTATATGCCATTATGTTGAACTAAATTTACTTGTAACTTCTAGGAGAATTAAATGTTTGTAAGTGTGTTGCAAATTATTTCCTCATTTTTTAAAAAGTATATAGATGGGCCGTGAAATCTAGTAACTATATAGCAATTTCTTTCTTATAAAGAGAAACTTTTATAGTTCTTGTAGAGAAGGTGTTTTGAAAACTGCTGCTTTTTTTTCAGGTGGAGAAAGAATCTGTACCATCAACTTACACTGTGAATGAACTCTCCATGATGAAATACTACTATGAATGTGTGTTGTTTGTGGTGAGAAAACCAGAATAGAAGTGGTCTGAATAGGTTAATCAGAAAAAAATGTTGGCTTGAAAGCTAGAAATGAGAATATAACGGACTGGGTGATGTCTGGACGCAACCTCAAATCAGTGGTGCCTTCTTATTCCTAATAGGATTTAGATAGTGTCTATTTTCTTAATATCTCTATTGCTACCCAGACATGTACTATGCCATGCATATTTTTAATATACTTGTGAAAATGGAGGAGGAAATGTTCACATACACTGTTTTTGTGCTTTGGAATGCATTAAAAATAAAAGCAAAAACATTTTCTTGAGAATAAAATTTAGTGTTTGCCATAACCAGGCTAATTCTCCGCATATGCTGCCTTGTTTTTCATAGATTTATAATGATTTTCTTTTTTCTACTCTCTGATGTTAGGAATGCATAGAGGTGCTTACTGTCCTAGCTGTGTCACATTTAAAGAAGTATTTCTAAACATATACTTAAATTATGAACTCTGAAATGATTGGAAAGTGATAAAATTATTCTTGATAGATACAATAGCCATCAATGTTACAGCAAATGTTACAAATGTTACAGCATGTGGAACTGAAACAAAGTAGATAATTATACAAATTCTAATCTTTGACTGTACCACTGTTAACAATTTAATCCAAACACAGAACCTATAGGCAATTTGAAATACTATGTGAAAGCAGCGTACTGAGTGAAGAAAAAGCAGCATGTCACAGAGAAGCAGTATGTTAACCTCAGTTCAGGAATAACACTAATTTTGATTAATCTCTTAGTGTTCAATCTGAAATACTAGATGCTTTGACATCTTAAAATACATTGATTTTGAGTCACCTACTTACTGCTTAAGACAAAACAGTGAAGCAGTATTTTTTTTGTTAAACATAATTAACAGAAAGTCATGTTACACCTTGAGCACTTTTTAAAAAATTGATAACATAGCTGAGTTATCCATGCCATGTGTAGGTAGTGCAACAGAAAAATCCCCATTTCTCAAAGGGAAAAATATACATGTAAATAATATGCACTGTAACCTAATTATCTCTACCTGAGTCAGCATATGCAGGCCAATTAATAGGCAATTTCCTTCTAACTTCAGGCACTTTACCCTTGTGACTTAGTGACTTCTTGGTTCCTTACCCTAATGTTTTTTTTTCCTGGCAGATGTGGCTTAGGTGAATATTTAACGTAGAAACCCTGATACTATACAAGAAGCTGAATCTTCTGTCACTTAGCAGTTATGTACATGAGAAAACATTAATTAATAATCACTGTGGTGAGAGGAGGTGTCATGTTAGCCATTTCGTTTTCTTAATATATTGGTTACCTTAAGTAGCATTTTCATCCATTTTCAGAAATATCTTTAAAATACAAAAACATTATGATAAGGAATCAAGGGGTGTTTCATACTTGTCATAATGCCACTGGACAATAGCTTGTTTGGTTCTCATTATTTCTAGTCCCTTTTTTCATGGTGATGTCCTAGTCACATCCCTTTAAATAGATCTGTTACTGGCTTTTGGATTTTTCCCATTAAGGCCAGAAATTTGTGCCTTTGTTCCTAAATTGAAAGTCTGCAAGGAAGAAAAACAAAAACTTTTTTTTTTATAGTTTCAACACTGCATAAGAGAGCGCATGCCTGGGTGTGTTCAGTACTGTGCCCCTTTTGCTCAGAATCCTTATTGAGAATAAAGGCTTCTGGTCTACAGAAGTTTTCAATTAGAGCTTTGCTTAAATTAGACTTACTTGAACTGTCTCTTCGTCCTCAAAGTGCACCACCAAGATTTAGCTCCATAAATGAACTGTCAAAGTTCTACCCAGCTCCAAGAAAAATATGTTTGAAGCTGAAACACTGCCACTGCAACAAGTAGATTAAAAATAAAACCCCTTGCACACCTAAAAATAATTGAAAAAAAAGTTGCTTTCATTTCCTTATTGTACTATTTAATTTATTCTTTGAGGGACTTTGTGATTCTTTGCTTTCATTCTGATTTTTTTTCCCTTAGGTGGAATATGATTAGTATTTAACTTGATTTTCAAGCTCCTTGAAATAAGACGAGACTAGGTGAACGTGGATTATGCTGTTGCTGAGTAGTGTATGTGTCTGCAATATTGCCCAATTTCTGCCTCCTACCCATTCTGTAGTTACACTTGAAACGTGGTGATCTTGTTTTTCACAAATAGGCAATGGAACTTTTGCTTTCTGGTTGAATGTCAATATCCTTTCTTCTGGTGGTTTTGTTCTTTGCCACCCCACGTTGTCACAAGTGCCATTTTTTGCATTGTTTTTGGAAAATATGTTTTTATTTACTTAGTTCAGGTATATAGTTACGTGCTTCTGGTTTTAATCTAGAAAATGCCAGTTTTCCCCAATGTTTTCCTCTTTAAATTATTACAGTTGCATTAAGAGTTGGAAGCAGAATAATCTTGTAAGTTGTATGAATTAGTAGTGTTTTATCTGCCAGTCCTATGAGTTCTTAAAATTCATCACTTGTATTTTTATGCACAGGGATAATTGTGTATTACTGAATGTGATGATGTTCTTGGGAAAATGCTTAAGGTGTTTATCAGCTGAAGCCAAGGCCATTTAATTTAGGTCACTATTAAACTGTACGTGGTACCAGGTGTCAAATAAAATGCTGTGTAATCTTCAGTGTAATGCTTCTTTGGCAAATGTAAAGTGTCCTGTATTTTTATTTATATGTAGTACACTCTAAAATCAGCTGTGATGGTAAGAATGGGAGGTTTCATGTCTCCTTCATGTGACCTTCCCGCTGTTTCCAGTGTGTGTAACCGACTTGGTTTTTCTCTGCTATTAAAGTTTGCAGTATGACGTGACGTCGCTCGTGTTTGGTTCTGTCCTTCACTGCGAGGTAAGATCCTGGTCTGACTGCCTCTTCCAGTCACGCTTCCGCCGCCGTGCAGGCAGCGGGACGCCGCGCGGGAGGGCGGGCGGCAGCTGCGCCCTC